TATAGATTTTGGATACTAGCCCTTTGTCCGATATGTCATCTGCAAATATCTTTTCCCATTCCGTTGGTTGCCTTTTAGTTTTGTTGATTGTTTCCTTTGCAGTGGGGAGGCTTTTTATCTTCATGAGGTCCCAGTAGTTCATTTTTGCTTTTAATTCCCTTGCCCTTGGAGATGTGTCAAGTAAGAAATTGCTGCGGCTGAGGTCAGAGAGGTTTTTTCCTGCTTTCTCCTCTAGGGTTTTGATGGTTTCCTGTCTCACATTAAGGTCCTTCATCCATTTTGAGTTTATTTTTGTGAATGGCGTAAGAAAGTGGTCTAGTTTTATTCTTCTGCATGTTGCTGTCCAGTTCTCTCAGCAACATTTGTTAAGGAGACTGTCTTTTTTTCCATTGGATATTCTTTCCTGCTTTGTCAACGATTAGTTGGCCATACTTTTGTGGGTCCAGTTCTGGAGTCTCTATTCTATTCCATTGGTCTATGTGTCTGTTTTTTGTGCCAATACCATTCTGTCTTGACGATTACAGCTTTGTAGTAGAGGCTACAGTCTGGGATTGTGATGCCTCCTGCTTTGGTCTTCTTCTTCAATATTACTTTGGCTATTTGGGGTCTTTTGTGGTTCCATACAAACTTTAGGATTGCTTGTTCTAGCTTCGAGAAGAATGCTGCTGCAATTTTGATTGGGATTGCATTGAATGTGTAGATTGCTTTGGGTATTATTGACATTTTAACAATATTTATTCTTCCAATCCATGAGCATGGAATGTTTTTCCATTTCTTTGTATCTTCTTCAGTTTCCTTTGTAAGTTTCCTATAGTTCTCAGCATCTCAGATTTTGTACCTCTTTGGTTAGGTTTATTCCTAGGTATTTCATGATTCTTGGTGCAATTGTGAATGAGATCAGTTTCTTTATTTGTCTTTCTGTTGCTTCATTCTTAGTGTATAAGAATGCAGCTGATTTGTGTACATTAATTTTGTATCCTGTGACTTTGCCGAATTCGTGTATCAGTTCTAGCAGACTTTTGGTGGAGTCTATCGGGTTTTCCATGTATCATATCATGTCATCTGCAAAAAGTGAAAGCTTGACTTCATCTTTGCCAATTTGGATGCCTTTGATTGCCTTTTGTTGTCTGATTGCTGATGCTGGCACTTCCAACACTATGTTAAACAACAGCGGTGAGAGTGGACACCCCTGTAGTGTTCCTGACCTCAGGGGGAAAGCTCTCAGTTTTTCCCCATTGAGGATGATATTAGCTGTGGGCTTTTCATAAATGGCTTTTATGATGTTTAAGTACATTCCTTCTATCCGGACTTTCTCGAGGGTTTTTCTTAAGAAAGGGTGCTGAATTTTGTCGAATGCTTTTTCTGCGTCGATTGACAGGATCATATGGTCGTTATCTCTTCTTTTGTTAATGTGATGTATCACATTGATCGATTTACGAATATTGAACCAGCCCTGCAGCCCAGGAATGAATCCCACTTGATCACGGTGAATAATTCTTTTTACATGCTGTTGAATTCGATTTGCTAGTATGTATCTTGTTGAGAATTTTTGCATCCATATTCATCAGGGATATTGGCCTGTAGTTCTCTTTCTTTGCTGGGTCTCTGTCTGGTTTGGGAATCAAAGTAATGCTGGCTTCATAGAATGAGTCTGGAAGTTTTCCTTCCCTTTCTATTTTTTGGAACAGCTTGAGAAGGATAGGTATTATCTCTGCTTTAAATGTCTGGTAGAATTCCCCAGGGAAGCCATCTGGTCCTGGACTCTTATCTGTTGGGAGATTTTTGATAACCGATTCAATTTCTTCGCTGGTGATGGGTCTGTTCAAATTTTCTATTTCTTCCTGTTTGAGGTTTGGAAGTGTGTGGGTGCTTAGGAATTTGTCCATTTCTTCCAGGTTGTCCAGTTTCTTGACATATAGTTTTTCATAGTATTCCCTAATAATTGCTTGTATTTATGAGGGATTCGTTGTAATAATTCCATTTTCATTCATGATTTTATCTATTTGGGTCATCTCCTTTTTCTTTTTGAGAAGCCTGGCTAGAGGTTTATCAGTTTTGTTTATTTTTTCAAAAAACCAACTCTTGGTTTCATTGATCTGCTCTATAGTTTTTTTAGATTCTATATTGTTTATTTCTGCTCTGATCTTTATTATTTCTCTTCTTTTGCTGGGTTTGGGATGTCTTTGCTGTTCTACTTCTATTTCCTTTAGGTGTGCTGTTAGATTTTGTATTCGGGATTTTTCTTGTTTTTTTGAGATAGGCTTGGATTGCAATGTATTTAATCATGAAGGGGTGTTAGATTTTGTCAAATATTTTTCGGTGTCTAATCAGAGGATCATGTGGCTTTTATTCATTATTATATTCATATGGTATGTAAAAATAATTGATTTTGGATGGTAAACCAAGCTTGCATTCCTGTGGTAAATCCCGCCGGGCCATGGCATATAATCCCATTTATATATTGCCGGATTCAGTTTGCTAATATTTTGTTAAGGATTTTTCTATCTGTGCTCCAGAGTAATATTGGCTTGCCGTTTCTTTTTGTGATATACCATTTTAATCTCTTTGTTTATTTTTGGAATGATCTTCTAAGCGCTTGCTCGAAGGATAACAATATGCATCTTTGACATACTAGGTTAATATTGGCCTCATAAAATGAATCAGAAAGTATTCTCACTCCTTTAATTCCATCAATGTATGTAGGTTCAAATACTTTCTCTGTTTCTTTTTAAGCCAGTTTGGCTAATGAGTGTGATTCTAGAAATTTCTCCCCTTTCACTCAAATTGTCTAAGTTGTTGGCATAATTTTGGTAGGGCTTGTAATGATGTCCCCTCTTTAATTCCTTTTGGTAATCTCTGTCTTCTTTTTCTCTTGGGCAACCTAGCTAAAGGTTTACCAAATCAGCCGATCTTTCCAACATAACTAATTTTTTCTGCTGTTTTTCTGTTGGTTTTGCTCTAACCTTTAATATCTCTCGCCTCCCCAAACCAAGTCCACCCCCTCTGACAGCAAAGCTGCTGTTTTTTTCCAGCTAGGCCCATACTGGTCAAACTGTTCTTGCTCTCTCCAACCAAGGTGGGGTGCATGGGGAGGTGGAGGCTGAGGGGTCTTCAGGCAGAAAGGCCTCAGAAGGCCTCATATTCCGTTGGTCTTACTGCAGCCATCGCAATTTTTCAGGAATGAGTGCTTCCCACTGCTTTTGTTTGTTTGATTTCCAGAGTCCTGAAATTAGTATTTTGACAATTTTGCGCAGAGGTTTCACTGGCTGGCCACTGCATGCTGCCATACCCATTGGTGGCATATAATTTTAGAAGAACAGAAAACCATATGCTCTAGACCCTTTGTTTTCAATAAAAGGGTCTACTACATATTCCTTGAAGCCCCCTTCTAAGCCTGTGATTTCACAATAAACTGACTAAAAAGAGAAGGAGAGTGGCCCAGGCTACTTTGTCTCTGAGACTATTTTCCTAAAGCCCACTCTATCTCTAACTCATCAGGAATCTTAGGTTTTTATCTCTGTGCCTCATATGTGTTTCTCAGTATGAACCAATGCACTGTTTGGATCAGTATTCAAGCATTATAAACGTGAAATAATTTCCAAATCATAGCAAACTCTCTAAAAGAGGCTTAAGAATTAGAAGATATAGTGGTATCTGTTGGGGAGGATAGGCTTTAAGCATATTTTACAATTTTGGAAAGACCATTTATTATGTGGATTAGAGAAATCAAGAGTCCTAAAGTCTGGGAAATGACAATTTTTTTTATTTTTAATTATCTTCCAAGGATTTTTTGCTTAAGGATTATTTTCCTTCTTTCTTTTCTCTTTATCATTTTCTTTACTAGCATATTCTTCCCTTGGTGCTATAAAAACCCAAGACTGTCCTGTTAACGGTGACAAATTATTCCCCTTAAACCAACAGTTTTAATTACCCTTCCTTTTCTAGAAGTGAAACACTATGACACGGGGTGAGAGAAAGAGCAAGAGAAAATAATTTGCTTCTCTAAGTCACCCCATAACACGACACATAGGCTTAAAATGGGTAAGGGCTCTCAAGGTTTTAAAAGATGGAGAAGTACTGACTGGTACCAAGAAAGAGATTTCTCATACATTTCTTATTACGAAAGGTCTACTTCTATTCTCCGTTGCGGTCCTCAAGGATGCCAAAATGGATTCTGCCTTTCTTGATAATGCAAACATTTTCTTTGCCTTGTTCAAGTTATTTCCTATAGTGCTGTTTCTGTCATGTTCAATTTTCTATATTGGTATGATAGCATTTGCTACTGGTTACTAAACATGACAACATTTGTATTATTATACCATCAGAACATTCGCTGACCTGATTCCTGAAAAAAACAAAAACCAAAAAACAAAAAAACTACCAAACATAATGCAGATTCCCTTCTCCCAACCCAAATTGCAGTATGGTGAAGCCACTATAGCACCAACTATCCTTGGCAAACATCGTCGCAGACAACAAAAATATATACCCCCAGTATACATGCTTATTGAGATACTATGCTGAAGTGTAACAGAGTTTAGCCACTCAGCTTAATAGCAATGAAACGAGAAAGCCCAATAAAAAAGCAGCCGGTGGACAGCGTAAAACCTGAGGACAGGACAGATTTACATTCACTTGGTGGCATACACACAGCAGAAATATTAGGTCGTTCGTGCGTATTTCTAGATAGCATTTAATAATTTTAAATGCCACCAATGTTTTAACTCAAAAACAGAGGGGGGAAAAAAGAGTAGCTTTTCCCTCGTTCTATATTCAAGGACACTGGTCAAACACCAGTCTGTTTTCCAGAGCCTTCTGTTTTCCATTTTCCTGCTGTAGATGGAACAGCATCAGCCCTCTGGACAAAGAGATCCGGAGCCCATCCACAGTTCTTAAGACTGTCTCCAAAAGAATATAGGAAGGGAATGAAGTAGGATCCTTAAGTGAGAAGAAAATCCCCCTCTCTCCCTCTGAGGTAGAAATAAAAATGTTGTTCTCACCTGATGGAAGAGAGGGCTGTGTGTCACAGGGATTCCCAACCCACTAAAGCACATTCCCAGGACCATATCATCGGGGGCATCATTGCTGTAGCAGCGACACTTACTGGCGAGAAGTCTCCTGATTGCTTCTCTGCTGAAGACCATTCTAGTGGGAAGCCAGAGCAGACAGAGAAAGGGGTTAGAGCAGCTCCTGGAGACCGTTAATCTAAATAAAGAAATCTAGTTGAGAGGCCACACTCTTAAAAAGACACAGACCTCAGCAGTGTTTTATATCTAATAGTTGTTTTGGGAGAAATGTTTGGTGCTTTCTACAAAAGGAAATTTTACTTTGAAGAGGTGTTTACCTATCTAATAGGCAACTGTATGTCTTCATAGATTTCTTGAAAACGAACACTATACAATGGTTTTTTCTTAATATGCCATTGGAAATTAGAGTAGTTCTTTAGTTGGAACACTCTCAGTGAGATCAGTAACAAAATCCACCAACATTCCCAGCAAGTAGATGGGCCCAAGCACCTTACTCGTACAGGTGCTGACTGACAATAATATCAAATCTACCTGGAACAACCATGCATTGTCCAAGTGATTCCAAGTCTGCAGAAGCGTCCTTAAGGTGATTTTGAGAAAGAGAAAGAACAGAGAGAGAGAGAGAGAGAGAGAGAGATTTGCCCCAAATAGTGCTAGGATGCTACTTGACCTGGTACGTTGGGTGCTTTCCAGTGGAACTCATGCCCAGTCCTGCCTTTCTGTGCCCTCCTCAGATGCTGCGTAAGGCTAGAAACTGTAAAACAACATTTTCCAGTTTCCCTTGCCATCTAAGACCCGGCTCCAACCTGACAATGAGGGGCACAATCCTAAGGGGGTGTGGGGGAGCCGGGGGCATCTGCTTCTGGCTCCGGCCAGCCCTGTGACAGACGCAGGTGTTGGTGGGCAGCTACATACAGGCTCCAGCAGAGCAGGCCCAGGGCAGCAGAGTGGTGATTGTGGTCCCACAGCAACAGCGGGGGGCCAGGCCCGGGACTGGCTCAGATGTAGTGTCGTGACCCAACAGCAGGACCGGCCACAGCACCCCTCAAGAACAGGCTCCAGAACACGGCCTTTGCTTTGTTCTTCTAGCCTTCGGGGCAGTAGCAGCTCTCTGTAGTTACCAAGCTCTAGGTAAGGCCACTTGCTCTGTTTTCTCCCTCCAGCCCTTTCCAGCCCTTTCCAGCACATCTGTAACAAGTTCCTGCAATAAATCCTCCTCTTTTTAAAATATAGATTGGTCCCCAAATATAGGACCACCTGGTCCTACAGTAGTAATGAATCTTCTCATATGATGAATAATCCAATAGCTGATAGGGCTGAAGGGGCTAATATGGTTCACAAATTCATTCCCAATAGGCAATGACTTCCTTGAAGGCAAAACTGTCTCAAACTTATCCATATATTCCCAGAGCCCAAATACAGGGCGTCGCACACAGTTAAGCATTCAGCAAAATCGGACGCGTCAAACAAGTGGGAACGAAGCTGCCTTTACAAAGACCTTTTTCCCAGGGAGGAGGGAGCTCTGTGGACCAGTCTAGTAGGAAGGAAAACAGGACAAAGACCTTGAATACAATCCCTGATGCGAAACTCAGCTGGGCTCAGTCCAATGTAGCTTAACACCAGTGACCATGTGCTGGCAATGCAACGGCACAGAGGACATTCTCTCTGCCCCGGCGAAGAGGCCAGAAGGCACGATGAGACAAGACCAGACAAGAGGAAAAAGCAGCTCTTTAATGAAGACGATACAAGGAAATCGGACTACACAACTAGAAGAAACAGTTCTGGGGGCGCCTGTGGGGCTCAGTCGGTTAAATGTCCAACTAGGGCTCAGGTCATGATCTCATGGTTTGTGAGTTTGAGCCCCGCGTCAGGCTCTGTGCTGACAGCTACAGAGCCTGGAACGTGCTTTGGATTCTGTGTCTGTCTCTCTCTCTCTCTCTGCCCCTCCCCTGCTCATGCTCTGTCTCTCCCTCTCAAAAATGATTAAACATTTAAAAAGAAGAAGAAACGCAGTTCTGGGGCTCAGTCAGGTAAGCGTCAGACTCTTGATTTCAGCTCGGGTCACGATCGCACAAGTTTGTGAGTCGGAGCCCCACATGGGGCTCTGTGCTGACAGTGCAGAGCCTGCTTGGGATTCTCTCTAGTTCCCTCCCTTTCTGCCCCTCCCCTGCTCTCTTTCTCTCAAAATAAATAAACTTAAGAAACAAAAAGAAGAAGAAACACAGTTCTTGTGAACTGTACCAAAAGGAAAACTGTACATATAAAAACTCACCAGAAGTCCTCTTTCTCTCAGAGTCCAGTGCCCCCCAGTGACTGGGGTAGCATCTACATGCTGAGTCAATCTCCCGCTCACCTACCTGACCCCAGGAAAAGGGTCTATGTGAGGGAACATGCATCAGCTATAAACAAACACTTCCCTTAAAACATCTATCTGATGCTATGTCAAAGGGAATTTCCTAAGTAAACTGCACTTGACTTTGAACAATGCAATGTTTGGGGGCCAGTCCCATGTCCAGGTTAAACTCTGATGATAAGTTTTGACTCCCCCCAAAAGTTACCTACTAATAGCCTAGTATTGACCAGAAGCCTTCCTGATAACATGAACAATAAACACAGTGTATGTTATATGTATTATATATTGTTTTCTTACAACAAGGTAAGCTATGAAAAAGAAAATGTCATTAAGAAAATCATAACGGGGTGCCTGGGTGGCTCAGTCGGTTGGGCCTCTGACTTCGGCTCAGGTCACGATCTCACGGTTCGTGAGTTCGAGCCCCACGTCGGGCTCTGTGCTGACAGCTCAGAGCCTGGAGCCTGCTTCAGATTCTGTGTCTCCCTCTCTCTCTGTGCCCCTCCCCTGCTCGTGCTCAGTCTCTCTCTGTCTCAAAAATAAATAAAACATTAAGAAAAAAAAATCATAAGGAAGAGAAAATACATTTATAGCACTGTACTGTATTGGGGAAAAAAATCACATACAAGTGAACATGCCCAATTCAAATCCATGTTGTTTAAAAGCCAACTGTACTTGTATCCCAATCCTAGCTATAATCGTGTTTATCTTAAACCCAATTTAAGTCAAAACACTTTATTTTTTTCTTTTGCCAGCATCTAGTAGAACGAGAAAGCAAAGGGAAGCCCACTCTTTTCTCCTGGCCTACTCTCTGAAAAATCTGTATTAGTATTTTTTTTTTTTCTATTTTTCCCTACTCACACAGAACAGTCTTACATTACTTAGCCACGTAAACTAAGTACACATGAGTCCTTAATTACACTTGTTTATTAGCATGCTGATGGGTTATTTCAAAAAGAAGTTGCCCCCCAACATGGAAAACTACCAAACATATCATGGTATATCTGCTCTATCCTCCAACTTTTAAATATTAAAGAGATGTGATTTCTTTTCATATAGAGCATACTAATTTTAAGCATAAGGAAAACTGAAATGGGAGGCAAGGGCTTGCAGAAGGCCGTGCGCGCAAATCAAGAGCACATACAGAAGATAAAGTGCATCAGAAACGTGCCCGCCCCTCCTGCTCTTCTAGCAGACGGACGGATCAGGGCTATCTCTGGGTAACACTGGCCCTCAGCCCCTTTCCAGGATGGCTGCCAAAGAGAATGGTGACATCCTGATCACAGCTTCCTACCCAAACAGAGGTACGTATTTCAGAAAAGAAAATGGTTGGTTATTGAATAAACTGTCTCCAGATACCTGAATGTTCAAGGAGTAAGCAACAAAGTGAAAACCAGACACTTGGACTCAAAGAGGGCAAAGGTCTCATTTTGCAAATACACAATACCTCCACACCAATCACTGGAGTCCACACTCCTGATTCAGCTCTGCTTTGTGGGGCTTAACAGAGACAGTTGAAGGCAAGGGTTTTCACAGACTGACTGTAAACCAGTGAGAAAACAAGAAACGCTTTTCATGCTACAATCATGTATATGTGTCGTGTGTGCACAAAACGAAAAACAAAATTTCACAAGACAATACCTGCCCTTACCACGTGTGATAGACTATGATATTTCAATTTTATTCTATTCCATTTTATAGTACACTGTTTTTAAATGACGACTATGATCCATTCATTGGTGTTTCAAGCCCTTAACTGATCCTGACTTGCTATTTAAGAAAAATCATGTTGGTTCTTAAGCTGGATCATCAGAAAGTCTACTGAGAAATCATTTAACATTCTGTCTGCAGCTTTTTTCGCAGGTTGATACGAGACAGTCTTGTGATGAATGCTTCTGTATCTTTGTAAAAGTACCATTAGAAACAGAGTATTATACCAGTCGTTAGTTATATAAAGATCAAGGCTCAGTGTTCATGCATTTGTTTACTCATTTATTCACTGTCCCTTGTAAAAAATGAGTCCCTCTGCTAGGAAGTAAAGATATAATGAGAAATGAGACACAGGTGCTGCCTTCAAATAATTCATCATTTAGGTGGAAAACAGAAAGGTAAATAGGCAATTAAATGATAATGGGTTGCATAATATGCTATGAAAGTACATTTGAAAGGCATCAAACCCAGATTTGAGAGGCCAGACTAGGCCAAAGGCTTCCAGGAATAAATTATAGCTACATCATGTCCAAAGAAATGAGAGGGATGAGCCGGGTGACAAAGACGGAAAGCTGGGGAGGGGAAACAGCACTGTGTGGAGACCAGCAGACGCCAGTCTGGGGGGAGAGGAAAGAAAAAAGGCCTCTGAGGACTTGAAATAAGTCCAGGAATTCTTTAAGATGACAGTGCAGGTGAAGAAGCCTAGAACAGTAAAACAGCATCTGCCAAGATCATGAGAGGCCAGGTAAGTCTTGACCAGGAATTCCGACTTGATCCTAAAAGGTCACAGGAGGTTATAAAGGAGCGCAAAGACTTTCATTCTCATGGTAATGGAAAAAAAAATCCAAATAAAATTAAAATCACAATAACTTATGGCATTGTTGCAGAGATGGGGGGTATGAAGCGCAGATGAACTCATCTCTAGAGAGAGGAATCCTTCCCAGACAGGTGGCAAGCTGGGGGGCAGGAGGCGGGGAGAAAAGACCAGCTAGAGACATTAGCCCCAAGTCAGTGGCCTCAGCAGCACCCACGGAGGCTGTGGACCCGGAAGACTGAAGGTGATTAAAACGAGGCCTAATCCCAGACCAGCCTGACTCCTGTGGGAATCCGAACGACCGTCTCCTAGTCTTAGATGCCAAAGGTAGGGAAGGGCTCGCGCTCTTGGGGAAGAATAAAAGCCAGAGAAGCGCGTGAAGGCCTCTGAGCAGGAGGGCACCAGGATCAGATGTGGTTGTAGAAAGGTCTCTGTGGCTCCAGGGTGGTCGACAGCAAGGAGTGGAGGAGATGGGGAGCCATGGCAGGAGCACGCACGTGAGAGATGGTGTGACCTAGATCAGAACTGGGGAGGTGGAGACAGAAGGGATATTTAGGAGACAGAACTGACACGACTTGGTGACCGGGTCGGCTGCAAAGTCCTGGGGAACGAGGAAGAGAAAGGACAAAGCAGACTCAGAGGTCTCTGGGGCAGGAACTCACGCATGCCACGTCTTCCCTGAGGGAACACCACCGGGAAGACACTAAAGCAGGGGCCAGGGTCAGAGGCAAGGTCAGGATGGCAGTGCTGGGTCTCATGTCCTGGGAATCACGCCAGTGGACAGGGCCTCCAGTGGGTGGATGTAGGAATCGGGAGGTCTGGGGAGAGTTGCAGGCTGGGGATAGAGCTTCGGGTGTTTTCAGCACAGCCACGGGGGGTGGATAAGATCACCAAGGAGAATACAGAGTGAGAAGAGGACCCCAGAAAAGAGGCCTGGAGAACACAGGAACAGGAAGAAGGAACTGAGAAGGAATAATCAGAAAGGCAGGAATACACAACGACAGGACACTGTTCTGGAAAGCAAGAGAAAGGAGCATTTCAAGGAGTAAGCAGTCACCTTTGTCAAAGTCGGCTAAGAGGTCAAACAAGAGGAAGATCGGGAGTCCGCCCCTGGATCTGGCTACGTGGATGCTGCCGGAAGCCTCGGCAAGACAGTTGAGGTGGGAAGCCAAGCGTGGCGGTCACATGGAAGTGGGAGCTGGAGAACAGAGATCGTGAGTCCCGGGTTCTTGCGATGACTTGAAGGGGAGAAGAGGGAGGGTGCGGTGGCAGGAAGGAGTTTTAAGATGGCAAAACTGGAGGTGGTAGGAAGTCCACAGTAAGAAGGTAGAAGCTGAACACGTAAGAGTTAACAGTGCCGTCTTGGTGGTGACAGTGCCCGCCATGGGCCTGGGAAGGGGAGCGGTGACACCCATGCGGTGTAGATGCCAGTCTGGCACTGCCCTGTGAGCTCCTGTAGGGAAGGAACTGTGGCTTCCGTTTGCATCCCCAGTGCCTATGCCCACCAGGCTTGTGGAGTGAATGAGGTCAAGTGCCATTTCAGGCTTCAAGGGCCAGTCTCAGAGATAACAGTGAAATCCAACAGGCAAAGAAGGAAACCAAATAGTGTTCTTGGCCATCACTTCTGTGTTAAAAGTATGTTAGCCCATATGTGCCACAAAATATAGAAACCCATATGCAAATAATAAGACCCCGTTCAAAGGCAGAAAGTTCCGACTCAAGGGATACCATACCCTGATTCTTCATTGGCTTCACCACCTCACCCAGAAAACTAAATGCATTACTCTAAAGCTGCAAATAGCTTGAGCCTTTTTTTCTTTTTTAATTAAGAAGTCAATAGTCGTTGGCCTTTACCCTTTGGCGTCTTTTCCAAGGCCTACCTGGACCCCCATCTCCCGTTGCTAATGACCTCAGGTGGAAGCATGCCACTGCCCAACAAAGATCAGTACTCCTGCCCAGGCCCAGTAGATAGTCTTTATCACAAGGCAGGTTGAGCAGTGGCTGGGGCCATTTTTTCCATCTTGAATCCATTCAACATAATACCATCTCCTCCAGTATTGCACAGTCCTAATACCCAAGCTGCCGCCCCTTATGCTCGTGACTCTCAGAGCTTTATAAACCAGTGCCAAGAATGTTGCCAAGCACATAGTGGACATCCAACAAATACCTGTCGAATGAATTTAAATCACTGTATTTCATAACGAGTTCAGATTCTCCCGAAATCAATCAATAGCAAAAACTGTGGAAATAATAGACTAACTGCTCAAGTGACGTAGCCACATAAATCAAATCAGAATCGTCCCCTATAAGAGATCCGGCATAGGCAGATCCTTCATTTAAAAACACTGACTTTGGGGGCACCTGGGTGGCTCAGTCAGTTGAGCATCCGACTCTTGGTTTCGGCTCAGGTCATGACGTCACAGTTTGTGAATTCGAGCCCCACGTCAGAGCCTTGGGATTTCTCTCTCCCTGTCCCTGTCCCTCCCCGGCTTGCTCTCTCTCATTCTCTCTCTCAAATAAATAAACATGAAAAATGTTAATTTTTCACTGTCATTTAAAATCTATAAATCTGATACAAATATCACTTAACTGCTTAAGTGATATTCTATACTATTTTCCTAAATGTGCTTTATTAGCAATAGATCATTTATTTTTTTTAAAAATTTTTTTTTTCAAAGTTTATTTATTTTTGGGACAGAGAGAGACAGAGCATGAACGGGGGAGGGGCAGAGAGAGAGGGAGACACAGAATCGGAAACAGGCTCCAGGCTCTGAGCCATCAGCCCAGAGCCCGACGCGGGGCTCGAACTCACGGACCGCGAGATCGTGACCTGGCTGAAGTTGGACGCTTAACCAACTGCGCCACCCAGGCGCCCCAGCAATAGATCATTTAAAAGTCTGGTGACTTATTTCTATACTACTCTTTTCCTAAATGTGATTTATTAGCAATAGATCATTTAAAAGTCTAGTGACTTGTTTTCTGGAATAAAATCTATATCCAAATTTCTTTCTCATTAAAACAAGCAAAGCTAATTGTCTACCTAGAGGCAATCATTCCTCTAGGGAAATTTCTACCAAGTCCCTCAACATCCATTTATATTTCTCCAAGGGGTAAAACATTCTTTGTGGTGAACCGTTCTCATATTTAGGAAATTTCATGTTTACTTTCCTATTACAGTCACAGCTACCATTTACAGAGCACTTATGTATCAGGATTGGTCCTGCTGCCACACGCCCAGCCCTGGATCACAGAAACAGAAGTGAGTGCTGAGAGTATCTGCAGAAAGCTCTGTTCATAGTTACCCTCCTCCTCCCGTGACGTAGCTGTAGCCTCCAGTGCCCAGGCCGTAGCCGTAACGCTCTCCCAGAAACAGCGGTTCGCTGGAGTCGTAACAGCTAAGCAAGTGCTGGAGCCTGGAGATGCTAAGATTCCAAAGAGAACATAAGCAATAATTACTTAACTCAAATGGGTTTCCACGCTAAAAAGTTGACGATTCTCACATCCCACCGGTCACATTATATACTACTGTACGGAAATCGCTTAGAGATGAAATTCAAGTCATTTACGGAAGAAATTCACTTAAAAAGAAGAAAAAAATGGACACTGTAGATCCCTGGAAACAGAAGAGAAACTAAAAAACAAGGGGCTTACTCCCCGGTTTTAATAAGCCCCTGCAAGAACATGGCTGCCTCCATGGGGTGGGTAGGGTGGCAGGTTAACGAAGTTGAGGTGGCCAGTGTACTGTTTAGCTCACGTCTACCAGTCCTGTTTCCCAGTGAGCGTGAACCGTCACATCTCTTCAGATGTGCTTGGCGTAGGAGCGCTGACAACACTGACTCCATCTTGGCCCTCCATCTTGTCCTCGCCTCTGGCGCACTGAATGCGCCACTTTAGATAATAGCAGAGAGCCTCTGCCCAGGTGGTGCCACTTTAGATAGCTACCCTGTGAGGGCACCCCCAGGCCCCTAGCTCCATAAAACCTGGAGAGTGGCAGAGAATAGCTGCATATTACCGTCCTGGCTGATAGACTGACCATCCGTAAGTTTCCCTGAATAAAACCGTAAACAGCTTGGAGTGGCTTGCTTCCTTTTTCAGCATTAAAGTGCCTTCTCAGTCTGGAGGATACATTACTGACCCTCCTCCAGCTTCTAACACTTGGCGTAGCGGACAGGAGACTGAAAATGAAACAAGCCAGGGAGGGGTAAAGGGGGCGAAGCCAGGAGAAGCCCACAGTCCACGCGGGGAAAGCCTGTGGTCCCTTGGGGGAAATCCCAAGCTTGCTAGCCAGGCGATTCGGCCAGGTCTTGTGAGCGTTTCAGACCAGCGTGTGAGTACAGAAACGCCCTAACCAACACGGGTCTGAGATGGTGGTGAAGCAAAAGGGCCAAGAAGGGGTGGCAGCTTGGGTCTTAGGACTGTGGAGGAGATGGTATTATGCTGAATGGATTCGAGATGAAAACGTGGCCTCAGCCACGGCTGAACCTGCCTGGTGATGAAAGATTATATATGGCAGGCGTGGTCAACAACTGCAGGCAGTTGGCTAATCTGATTGGATAAATGCTAGCATTAAGAAACCCTGGCCTAACAAGGAGGCTGTGCCCTCCCTTCTGTTGCAGCAGACCTCTGTGGAAGAACTAGGGATGAAGTGTGCTATTTACACGCAGCATTTCGGTGGCCCAAATGAAGCATGACTTTCCTCTTGTATGAATGACCGTATCTCAGCCCCAGGAGCGTGGTATGGGACTTTAGAGGTTGTTCTTGCCCTTGTGGCTAAATGGCCCATTGCTACGGTAGCTACTATGGCTGCAGACTTAGGTGAAATTCAGAGACTCCCTTATGAGGGAAATAGATTAAAAAAGAGGGAAAAACGATCCCACTGATGAGAAAATGGCAGAAAGGGGGCCTATCAAGATTTGTAAACAATGGTAGCAATACCGAATATTATCTGGGACCCCGAGAGAAAATATAGACAAACAACCCAAGTTGGTCTTGCTGAGCCTCCAGAAGGCATCGCCTGATGGAGAGCAGTTTACTTCCTTGAAGGCAGGCTAAAAAAGCTGGGTGTGTTGCCCAGTGCCCCTCTGCTAATGGAAAAATTTCGGGGTGGACACAGACTATTCCTGGAAACTAAGGGTTAGGCCAGCGTTTCCCTCTAGTGCATGCAACAGTGGACAACTGGAGGCCCCATTATTAACTATTTATTTGTCTTTCACTAACCATCAGACTGTGCTAGCTCTAATATTCACTGGCTAAATGCACATTTATCTATGGAAATGCCTCAAAATTAGTGGTGAATTGGATGTAACTTCACATCCAGAAGGGCTTGGCTGGGGCTCGTGGTAACAATAAAATGGGAAATCAATTACAGTTATTTGCATAAGTTCAATAACAATATGTTCTTATAACAGGACACCATTGGAAACCTTGATTACCAAGGCTTTGGAATGTCACATTGGAAAGAGACACGTATAGACTCAAATAATGGCCAAACAGCCCTAAGGAACTAAGGTTGACTTTATAGAGCCAAGGAAATTCCTTGGAAAAAAATGGCCTGCTACCTTGCTTACAGGTTCCTGAGAGCCCTACCGTGCAAGTCAGGAAGGTCACTTGGGGACCTCAAGAAGAGAGGACTTAATTCAAATTAAAGGTATTGCAGGTGGGTCTGATGGCAAGTATTTGACTTAGCTTCTGGCCTCCAAAGGCTGTAAAAGGCTCAAACTGAAATTCCCTATGAGAAGTTCCAGAAAAGCAGACTTAAAAGAACCCAAATGGCCCATCACCATTCTTGTTGCACGCATGTAAACATTTAGGCCAAGTTTGTTAAAAGTGGACTTGTTTTACAAACAACTTAGTCTTAATTTGACTACCTTTGATAGAAATGAGGGTGATTTTAGAAAAAAATATTTCAGTAACACACTTTTATGGGTGTTAGATTCTATTTCTGGTTGAATGGTTATTGTTTACCTATAAAACCAGGGGCTAGATCCCGAATTCGTCTGGCTTCCGTGCATACATGGCTCACTTACTACCTGACTGCTTGCACTCCACAAACCTGACTTTGAAATCACATTGGCAGGACCACCTCCTGAAAAGAGACCACTGTTTAACTGAATGGACCTAACTGACCTTGTTATAAAATGGAGAATGAGATGCTAAGACTATATACAAGACTTCCAAAACAGTGGTTACAAAGGATGGGAGCTCAGCTGAGCTGTAGGGAATATCTGCAATGGGATGCAATGGCAACTTAATTCATGAAATCCTGCTCTACACCCTTTTCCAGCAGGAAGCAGCTAGAGGGGTCATTACCCCTACCCCTCAAGAATGGGGAATGGTTCTGGGCGCCTGGGTGCCCCAGTGGGTTAAGCATCTGACTCTTGACTTTGGCTCAGGCCATGATCTCACGGTTCACGGGATGGAGCCCTGAGTCAGGCTCTGCGCTGACAGCATAGAGCCTGCCTAGGAGTCTTTCTGTCTCTCTCTGCCCCCTCCCCCCACCCCTTGCATGTGCACTCTCTCTCTTAAATACACATTAAAAAAAAAAAAAAAAAAAGAATGAGGAATGGTGAAAAACCAGGGGTGGTACTGGTTCAACTCACGTTGCTATTTATGCTGCTGCTGTGGCGGGGGGTACAAGTCCCTTCCTGACATCTGGCTCAAAGGCCATTGTGAAAGAATGGCGGGCAAAGATGGCACGGGCTGAAAAGATGCCAGAGGTGGAATGTGGGAGTGCTAACAACATTGATTCCATCTGTGGGACGCCATCTTGCACAGGTGGCACCACTTTGGATAACTGGCGGCTATCGGGTGCACAGATGGTGCCACTTAAGATAACTACCCATGACCTCCCCACCACGCCCCTCACTCCATAAAAGCTGGGGGAAGGTCCAGATAAAGGCTGGGAATAGGGGCGGAGATTAGGAGCATATTACCGCCTGGATCTTCTGTCCGTTGGCCCACCCGACTGCCTGTCGGTAAGTTACCCTGAAGAAAACACTGCGAACGGTATAGAACAGCTTTGCTTCATGTTTCGGTATTAATGTACCTTCCTGGTTTGGAAGATACATTATAAACCTCCGCCCCTTTCTAACACTTAGTACTTTTTAAATTTTAATGGCCCCCAAACAGAATTTTCGAGATACAAATGAGGTCCATGTCAGGCGCGTGGCTGGCAGGTGGGCAAACGGATTTTGTTAGACGTTCCAGGAAACCTTTCAATTACGGTGCACAACCACACATCTGTTTCCCCCGAGTAAGGCCACATAAGTTGTCTTTTTACGTCTACTTATGTATATACCTTCTGGCACCTGTATTTCTTTGTCCTATGTCAACAAGATAGCTTTAAAAGGGCAGTGAGAGGGGCGCCTGGGTGGCGCAGTCGGTTGAGCGTCCGACTTCAGCCAGGTCACGATCTCGCGGTCCGTGAGTTCGAGCCCCACGTCAGGCTCTGGGCTGATGGCTCAGAGCCTGGAGCCTGTTTCCGATTCTGTGTCTCCCTCTCTCTCTGCCCCTCCCCCATTCATGCTCTGTCTCTCTCTGTCCCCCCCAAAAAAATAAAGTTAAAAATAAATAAATAAATAAATAAAAGGGCAGTGAGAATATCCAGGAGCTGGTCAGAGAAAGGCCTGTAGCTAGAGCTGCCATGAGGGTGAAGAAAAAGATTTCATAGGAAAATAAAATCTAGAAGTAACCTTTCAAAGGTGAGACAAAGGCTAATATTAAGAAGGGATAGTTTTCCCATGTTTTAAGAACTTGTACCGCTTACAAACGCCTCGTAAAGTCCTTCCACTATTTGTTCTAAACTAGAGCTTTCTGGGTCACACACCACCAAATCCTAGGTTCTCTCGTGGTATTAATCAGTGTTCCCCCAAAAAAAGATGTTCTGTGATCAGTTTTGGATTAAAAATTTTTAATTAGCTAAGTAAATTCCAATGTTTCTCAAGCCTGATGAGCATCGCGTATCTCCAAGAGGGAGATAGGATATCAAGGACTTCTCTACGTTATTAATCATAAATTCTTACAAAGAAGTATTAACATCTAGAACACTAGTGTTCTAGGATTTCACTTTTCTTCTTTTGGGGGACAGGTGGGGTCTTAAACCCAAGTGGAGATGCACAAACTGGAAAGAAGGACATCGCTTCAATCCACACTCGTGCATCTTATACAAATACCCCAGCCAATAAACCTAAAGCTGAAAGCGAAGAAAACCAATTTAATGTATGAAAAAATTGCCTTAAAATGTGGTGCTAAGAGTTGACCAGTTTGCTGATCATGTTTATATGTGTCTGCAGGTCAAGGCCTCTGACAATACTGACAGTTTCTGAGTGGCCAGAAAACGTTATCCTTAAAACTATCCTGTTTTGGGCACACAAGGTAAACATTCTGGGCACCCAGTTTGGAATCCATCCTTAGGAAATTAGCG